ACCATGGGAGTCACTCAAAATCGGACCAGGATGCTTGAGGGGCAGGAGGAGTAGTGAGCCTCTTGTCATCAGAGGTATGCAAATGGAACTGGCTCATTCCAGTCAGGGGTGCTATTGGTGGGAGGTTAGACTCAATCCCTCTAACCCGGCTGGGTGCGGGGGCTCACGTCTATAATCCTAGCACTCTGGGAGGCCAAGGCGGGAGAATTGCTTGAGGTCAGGAGTTAAAAACCAGCCTGAGCAAGAGTGAGACCCCGTCTCTACTATAAATAGAAAGAAATTAATTGGCCAACTAAAATATATATAGAAAAAAATAGCCGGGCATGGTGGTGCATGTCTGTAGTCGCAGCTACTCGGGAGGCTGAGGCAGGAGGATTGCTTGAGCCCAAGAGTTTGAGGTTGCTGTAAGCTAGGCTGACACCAAAGCACTCACTCTACCCTGGGCAACAAAGTGAGACTCTGTCTCAAAAAAAAAAAAAAAAAAAATCCCTCCAACCCTAATGGGGAAAAGGAAAAAAAGCCTGACATCAGCTGAGGTTCTGCTGTGTGCCAGGCACTTGAAATGCATAATCTCAAAGACTCTGTGCAATTAATTGTTCTGGGAGCGAGGTGTTTCCTTTGTCCCCATTTTAGAGATGATGAAACTGAAACTCAGAGAACCCTTGCTAGGAATTTGACTTCATAGGAAAGAGCTGGAATTTGAACCCAGGTATTCCTGGCTCCTAAGCCTACGTTCTTTGAGAACACATCTAAGGCCCCGAGACTGCATCCCAAAGAACATCTGCTGCCCCGTCACACCCAGCCCGACGGAGGCAGGACAGGTGTTGCCGGAGCCCCTGGAGTGGCCCCCGATCGCCAAGGCTGTCAGAGCACGGGGAGTGGGGTCCCGGAGAGAAGCCCTCTGAACCGCTGCGATCACTCTGAGGTCATCATGGGCCTCACCTGAGAAGCTGAGGGGACCAGGTGGCAACTTCTCTCTAAACAGCTTGATCGTTGGCGTTTGACCTCTATTTTCCATCAACTTACTTCCATTTCCTAGTGTTTACCGACTGCATAAATAAGGAGAGGTGGAAAGCTCAAGCTAACGAAATCCTCTCCGCACTCTTGCCCCACTTTTCAGGGTGTGTTGAGGTACACGTGCAAATGCAGAGGCGCTTCCATGCACTGCCCACGGGGGGTCCCACTGCTACCTGTGAACGCCGGGCCCGGGCTGCCGCTGCCCCCCAGCGCCCAGAGTCTGCCTCTGGGACCCTGGGCTCCCCAGCACTGCCAGCTGCCGGCCAGGGCTCGCTGCAGAGACGTGAGCTCCCCGAATTCCCCTCACTGCCCCCCGGGTCTCCAGCCTTGTCCTGACACAGGCCCCACCACGAGTTCCGGCCAAGGGGCTGCAAAGAGAATCAACGAGCGTCGCTCCTGGGCTGAGGCCCTGAAGAGTGAGTGTGGTTTCCCGCTCACCTCCCTGCTGCGTGAGCCGCCCGGGTCCCCGTGCCAGCGCCTGCTGGCCCTACAGCAGACGGCGCAGGAGGGAGAAACAAACCTTTGTCGCACGCACAAAGCTACGGAGATTTCAGGATCGCCTTGTTGCCACGGTGCGACCTGCCCATCCGGACTCGTGCGGTCCCCACGGCCCCGGCCACCAGTGCCACTACAGCCGCCCGCGCCTGCCGGGCTCTCTGCTGGGCAGGTGCCCCAGGAGCTTGCGGGTCAAAGGGCAGCAGACAAACACATACGAACCTCAGACACCTCCGAGCAATGCGCAGAAGGCCGGTGCTGCCACGCGGGGAGGCGTGGGGCCCCTGGACGCCCGGAGAAGGGGGGCGGGCAGTCGGGGAAGGCTTCCCCAGGGAGCCGTCTCCGCCGACCTGCGGCTGATGAACGAGAGTGTGTCCCTCGGGCACAAACCGGGGGTACCTGTTAGTTGGTCGGTGCACTATTTAATGTTTTTTCTGTGAATTGACAATATTTAAAAATAAGGAGTGTCACATAAAAACCTGGATTTGGGCCTTCTCCACTTCAAAAATCAGTGCAGGGGCTGGGAGAGCTGGCTCACGCCTGTAATCCCAGCACTCTGGGAGGCCGAGGCGGGCGGATTGCTCGAGGTCAGGCGTTTGAAACCAGCCTGAGCAAGAGCGAGACCCCCGTCCCTACTATAAAATAAAAAGAAATTAATTAGCCAACTAATATATATAGAAAAAATTAGCTGGGCATGGTGGCACATGCCTGTAATCCTAGCACTCTGGGAGGCTGAGGCAGGCAGATTGCTCGAGGTTAGGAGTTTGAAACCAGCCTGAGCGAGAGCGAGACCCCGTCTCTACTATAAAATAAAAAGAAATTAATTAGCCAACTAATATATATAGAAAAAATTAGCTGGGCATGGTGGCACATGCCTGTAGTCCCAGCTACTCGGGAGGCTGAGGCAGGAGGATCCCTTGAGCCCAGGAGTCTGAGGTTGCTGTGAGCTAGGCTGACGCCACGGCACTCACTCTAGCCTGGGCAACAAAGCGAGACTGTGTCTCAGAAAAATAAATAAATAAAAGAAAATAAAATAAAAAAGAAAAATCAGTGCAGGCCTATCCATCAACACTGGGCCTCGCCTACACGCTGGCAATCGGCAGGAGCCGGCCTTGCAGACGGGCACGTCTGCACCAGGTTACGGGCCCTCCACGCCTCTGCCCGCCGCCAGCCCTGCACCGAGCTCGCCAGTTCTCACCAGTTCTCACCAGGGTCCCTCGGCCCGACGAGCCTTTCCCACCCAGACCGAGGACCAGGGGCGTCTAAGCAGCTGAGCCCTCCGTGGGGGCCCGAGGGGCCCTGCCACGTGGCTGACTGGCCCAGACGACAGTGACTTCTTCAGGGCAGGAGAAAGGAGGCCCTGGGGACGGCCCCAGAGAGTCAGGCCAGCGAGCACAGCGCCTGCCACTGCCTCGGCCCCCCAGGCAGACAGCGGCTGCTTGGGGCTGCCCCAACCCGTCCCCCTCCTGGCGACAGCCCCTTGCTTTTCTTTCTGGGAACCACCCGCCCCTAGTGCTCAGTCTTGGCGGCAGTCCAGGCAGGCCTCCTCGCGCTCTGCCGGCCAAGAGGAGGACCCGCGCTGCCTGCCGCCCGGGCTGTGAGTCACCAGCAGCGGCGAGGAGGGAGGGCGGCCGTGGCCCACGTGGCTCCCCTGGGGAGCCTCGGCAGAACCAGCCTCAGGTCCTGTTTCTGGACCCTTGTGCTGCCTGCCCGCCCTCCCTGCCCGTGCCTGACGGGCACCGTCGCCTGTGACCCCGGGCGCTCTCTCATGACCTCCAATCCCCCCCTCCCTGGGCCGGTGGCAGTTCTCGGCCCCTCTCGCAGGCTGGCGGGAACTCTCCGGGTCCACACCTGACTCCCCTGCGGCCTCGCCAGCACAGGCTGCCTCCTCCCCAGCCTCGGCTCCTTCCGGTCCGTCTGCCGGAGCTCCGGGGTCGTCCTTTGGGGACCGAGACTTGCCGGAAACCGGAAACCCGCACGGCCCCGATCGCACCTCCCGCTGACCCGACCCGTCCCGGTGCCTGGACTCCGGCTTGGTCAGGCCAGCAGGTCCCGGCCGCTGCTCAGCGGTCTTGCTCTTCCTTAGGGTGCAGCTTCCTCTGCCCTCCAGGACACGGCTTGCCGTGGAGGGAGGCTGTGGCGGGGGCCCGGAGACGCCCCTGCTCCCGGGCCGGGCGCGGGCACCAGACCGGAGTCTTGGCCGGGTCAGCTCTTCCCTCAGCCGGGGACCGCCTCTCTCTCTGTCCTGTGTCCGTCCTGCTTGTGCTAGTGTCTGCTCTGTGTCAAACACCCGGGAGGGACACGCGGCTTTGTGGCCGTTGGTGCACACGTGTGGAAGGCAGCGTGCGATCACTCTCCTGAACGGGAAACCAGTACCATGCTCTATAAATGGAAGGTTTCTTACCATGTTCTATAACGGCACGAAACAAACACAGGGAAGGTACCTGCTGTTATTCAGTTTCCAGCTAGACACTGTTGCCAGCTGAGGGCTGAGCCTCTTCCTTGAAAAGGAAGACCAACATGTGTTAGAGAGGTGTTTAAGTAGAGGCTAACCTCCAGTGGAGACTGTCTCTGTGATGTAATCAGCCGAAAAGGCAGCAACTGTCTCCCAGGGGTGTTTAATTCATGCCTGAATACCACTCTTAAAAATTGTTTTCATGGCCATCTGTGGTGGTGTGCCCCACTCCGAGCAATCAATGCTACCTCAGCAGCTCCATCTGGCCCCGAAACCTGCAGCCCCCGGCCGGACCTGGCCTGGGCCCCCGCGCACCTGCCCCACGCCACTGGGCTGGCCACGCAACCGCCCACAGCACTGTGCCTGGGCCTCTGAGCACCTGCCCCACACGCCCACTGGGCGGCCCCACGCACCTGCCCCACGCCCACCTGGCCTGGGGCCCCACGCAGCCTGCCCACGCCCACTGGGCCTGGGCCCCCCGCGCACCTGCCCCACGCCCACTGGGCCTGGGCCCCCACCACCTGCCACACACTGGGCCTCGGGCCGAGGCACCTCGCCCCACACCCTGGGCCTGGGCCCAGCCCTGCCCACGCCCACTGCGGCTGGGCCCAGCCCCCAGCACCTGCCCCACGCCGCACCTGGCCCTGGCCCACGCACCGGCGGCCAACACCCACTGTGCTGGGTCGAGCACCTGCCCCACGCCACCACCTGCGGCCTGGGCCCCCACGCACCCTGCCGCCCATGCCACTGGGCTGGCCGACCACTGCCCAACACCCACTGGCTGCGGGCCCCGCGCACCTGCCCCGGACGCCCACGTGGGCCTGGTCCGCCCGACACCTGCCGACACCCACCTGGCCTGGGCCCCCGAGCACCTGCCCCATGCCCACTGGGCTGGCCCACACCTGCCCCATGCCACTGGGGCCTGGGCACGACACCTGCCCCCACGCCCACTGGGCCTGGGCACCTGCGCACCTGCCCCCACGCCCACTGGGCTTGGGCCCCCATTCTGTCCCAGGGGACGAGCCTGGTTCCAGGTTGTGCCAGGGGAGTTCCCATAAAGAGAAGGATAAAAGAACTCACTTTCTGAGCCCTTCCTCAGTGACAGGCACTGTGCTAGGTATTTTACATAGATTATTTCAATCCCCCCTTAAATTTCAGTTATTTGCATGCCAACTTCGTGATTCCGCCCTGTAAGTACTATCCATTTACTTAGTGTTTCTCTTTAAATTGATTTGCCTTTTTTTTTTTTTTTAAAAAAAAAGCACACAATTTTATTTTCAAAGGAAATGCTATATATTATTTCCATAAATCATAGAGTCTGGTGTTCTGGCAATATGTTTCTAGCATGTGTCAGTTGTGAGCTGCTAAAATAATAAACGTTCATCGGTATACTGCCCAAAGTCACCTCATACAGCACCAGTCACCCGCACTCGGGCCATCTTGGCGAACCCCCAGGAGTCCCTGGGAGGGGCGTTGGGGTGAGAATGTGGGACTTGGGGGGGGGGCAATTGCCAACCCCCCCACCACCGTGGAGGGTGGGGCTGACGGTCTACCTGCACATGCCTGGGCTCTTCCGACACAGTGCTTTCCAAGTGCATTTTTAAATCAAAAGAATCCTTAAAAAATGGAAATATATGTGGAAATCCAATATATGAAACAGATAAAAGCAGAGCTTTTGTGATTGAGACGGGGACTGGGGGACCCAGAGCTGCCTCTTTAGGGCCTGCCCTTCCTTCCCAGCAGCCCGGGGCCCTATGGAGCATCAGTGCAAACCCACGCCACACCACCCTGTCCCTGACGCCACTGAGTCCAAGCTCCCTGTGAGCCAAACTCCGGAGGGCCAGAATCTGGCCTGGGCAGTTTTCTTGGCTGGGCATCTACACCTTGGACCTTGGCCATCTTGCCATCTTGAAATTTTCCATCTTGCCATCTTGAAATCTTCCACTGGCTTCCTAAGCCTTACTCTGACCTAATTATTCATTCATCGAACGCTGGCATCTCATCTGCACCCAGGTTTTAGAGGGTGCAAAGCGGAACTCTGAGGAACAGGATGTTTCCACCGAGGGATCCCAGACCCGTGTGGGGGACAGACACAGGTGTGGCCAGGTGTGGCCAGGTGCAGCGAGGGCAGCCCCTGCTCACAGAGGCGCACTGGTCTTCTCACTCCCTCCCGCAGGTGCCTGGCTGTACCTGCGGTGGGCAGTGCCTGGGATGGGGCCCCCACCATACCAACTGCTCCCCCCACACTGTGAGGCTGGAGGTCCCGCCGATTCCCTGCTGTGGCTCCGGGGGTCCCTGTTTACTGCAGCAAACACTGCCTGGGGCGAGGGTCACAGCCTCACTCCCACGGGAGGACCAGTCACAGTGGTGCCGCATCTGCAGCAGGAAGCTCTGCCTGGCTCCTGGCCTCGCCTGTCTTCTCTCCTCACTGCTGGGTCTGTGTGACCCGAAAACCCAGTGACCGCCCTCCCACTGCAGAGAGTGGCCCCAGAAAGGCCTTCCTATGCCAGGAAGGGAGGCACCTATTTGCCTTAAATGTATGGAAAGATCCTGGTAGAATTCCGGTAAGTTTTAATGCCGCCGAAGGGACAGTTATTTAGCCTTGTGGTGTCCTCTGACCAAGCCAAGGCTGCCATCTGTTTCCTGAGTCCCGACTGTGGCCCTGGTCCCCTCCGAGATGCCCCCATCTTCGGAGGGCCCTGCAATGTCCCTAGAACGTCACCTACAGAGGCCCCCCTGTGCTATGAGACCTGGTCCGAGCTAAGTGCAAGCTCCAGAAGGCTTCTCTTTTGGTGGATCTGAGTGTTGGGTCCATTAGTGAACTCAAAGACAACTCAAGTCAATTCACGCCAAGTCAACTCAGGCCAGCTTTCCTCAGGCCACGCCCAGCCAGTCAACTCCACTCCACTGCCCTCAACTGCACTCAGCACTCACTCACTGTGGCCCTCGGGCCTGTCCCGTGCTGCCCCGAGCCAGGTTTTAGCTGGTGGAAAGGCGGGATCCAACAGTTAGCATGACGTGACCTTGGTTCTCAAGGCGTTTCTTCTTTCGAACCTAGATTCCAGGCTCAAACCTCTTGAGCTGCAGAAATCCCTTGCACAAGGGGCTGGAGAGACAACCTCCTTTTCTGGCCTACAGACAGGCCGACTGGCAGCCTAGCCATGGGGTTTGCTCTCCAAGACTTTTCACACCACATTCTTAGCGTCGTATGACCTTGAGACCTCAAACTGCAGTGTCAGCTGGTCTCTGGCCCCGTAGGATCTGGTTCGTAGGGGTCCTGAGCCGCTCGCTCACTCTTCTGCTGGCTTGCTCACAAACCTGCATCGAGCACTTGCTATGTGCCAGCCACCTTACAGACATCATCTCATTTGGTTCCCACAGCGATCACTGTGGACACAGAACAGTAAGTGGACAGCTAGAATTTAACCTGGCCCTAACCCCAAAGCCTGGCTCTTTCCATCTCATCCACCGTCTCTTAGAACAATTGAAAAGAATCTGCAATAAAGGACAGAGGTCACCGAGTGCTTAAACAAATACGTTCTGTATGGAGGGAAAAGGATGGATGGATATTTCATGTAAGGCCAAATCCCACCTGACCAGTTTATTAGAATTCTCTGAGAATCGAACTACAAAGGGAGATAAAGGGGGACTTTCACACAAAAAAGCCTTTTTTTTCCCCCCAAGTTTCTATTCCAAAGCCTATTAATAAAATTGATTCATTATAGAATTGGGCAGAGGTGGGTGGTGAGTGGGAGGGAGTCTATTTTTGCACGGATAGGGAACTGGCGTAGAGACAAGGAGGAGAGAGTGGGGTAAACGGGCGCTTCTTCAAACGGAGAACCAGGGTTCCCCGGGACTGGTGCTGGACTTGCTCTTACGTAACACTCAGTACCAGACACCCAGGCTGTGCGGGTCTTAGCTAGCACGGGGCTGGGGGATATCACAGTAAGCGGGACACGGCTTGAGTCCCGGGGGAGCCCAAAGATGGACGTGCTCAGTGACATCTCCACATTTTCAGAGGAAAGGAAGCTCCTGGGCTTGGAAATGCCAAGACACTGGAGGGAAAGCTGAAGAAGGTTGCCAGGAGTGTGGAGAGAGCCCCAGACGGCACCCAGAAGGCCTGGGCCCTGGTGCCAGCTCTGTCCTCGGCTCCCTGTGACACTGGACAAGTCCCTTCCCTTCCCGAGTCTCAGTTTTCTCTCCTACGCAAGGAAGGAATTGGACGAGACGATCTGCAAATGGGCACAGGTTATGAGGCTGTCTCTCATAACCCATGTGCCTGAAATGTCCCCTTCTGTCCCTGCCCTGTGACGGGAGGCCCCCTCCCCCACTTGTGAACGGAGAAGAGGAGCAGAGAGCCGCGAGGTCCGCAGTGCTGGGGCTCGGAGCCCAGCCTGGAATCCCTCAGTGGCATTCGCCGCGAATGACTCAGCATCCTAAATAGCTCCCATCTGGACGAGCAAACGATATCTATAGCGATCGGGCGATCTCTACATCCACACACACTCTCTCTGTACAAATATGTGGCTCACTGTATGCTAAATATGAGGTGGCCTGGAGACGTTCCTCCTCTTAAGAGCCTATTTGGTATGAAACTCAAGACTGTTTATTTAAAGAAACAAGTTTACAACCATGCACGCGGATGACTTGCAGTGGGTGGTGGGGAAGAGGCAGTGTGGATGGAGGGGACGGCGGGCGTGGTCCGAGCGTGGCCCGCCACCCGGAAGAGGAGCTGGGGCTGACTGCTCCAACCGCGAGATGCCGGGCTCCGGGGTGGGGCGGGGGACGGGGGTGCCGGCCCCTCCGTGCAGGGGCCGCTGCCCTGCAGCAGGAGGAGCGTGGGGCCTGGCAACGACGGGACGGCCGGGTCCCAGCCCAGCCCTCTGCCCCGCCGCTCGTCGCCGGCAGCTCATGGGTTTGCTCATCCACGCGTCCGGCGCGGCCCAAACACCCACAACGCGCACGCACAGGCCGCCAGATGCAGACGAGAAAAGGCAGGTGGGAATTCAGACTCAGCCACCTACCAGCTGTGTGTCTTTGGGCAACTCCTTTCCCCTCTCTGAGCCTCAGTTGCCTCATTGGTAACCCGGGGATAACGATACCCATCTCGGGTTTTCAGGGAGAGCATTGAAAAGGCAACAACGCGCGCAGGAAAGCGCTTCTCTGCTGTAAACGGTCTGGAAACGCAAGGCGGCACCCCACACCCACGTGCCCAGGAGGGGCGCGCTCGCCGGCCGGCCGCGGGGAAAGGCCACCACGGCACCCTCCGTCGGGGTGCCGGGGTGGGGCGAGGCGCTGAGCAGGGCCCTACCTTGGCTTCCTGGCAGAGCTGGGACGCGGGAGCCTCAGTCGCCGAGCCGAGCAGACAGCATGCCGGGCGGGCGGCACAGCCTCCTGGGAAGAGAGGGCGTGGAGGGGTGAGGAGAGAGCGCGAGGGGGAGCCCAGGCCCTGGGGGGGTCTGCCCCACCGCTCCCAAGGCCACCGCTGCTTCTCTCGTGCCGGCAACAGCGTGGGCAGGATGGGCCCGCCTGGGGCCAGACCCGACCCCTGGCCTCAGCGCGGCTGACCCGCCTGGTTCCCTGGTCCAGGCAACACTCGTGTCCTGCCGTTAGCCACGCTGTGACTTTTCATTGGTGCAAATGGACAGGATTTATCGCCAATCACATCTGGCTTTGAATCTGGTTTTGGGGACATCTATGACATCTCTCTGAGCCTCAGTTTCCTCATCTGTAAAATGGGGCTCCTGCTAGTACCAACCTCACACATGAAGTGCTACATCAGTGCTCATTATTATTATTATTATTATTACAACAATGTTGTTAAAGAAGACCACGCCTGTGAAGCTATCTGCTACACTGTAGCCCCTCGATTCCAATCAGCTCCCTCTGCTTTCTTTATTCCAGGGGCTCCAAGCGTTGCTTACGAGGCAAAGGTTGGCTCTCGCGTGACTCTGTTTCCAGAACCGGCACAAGACCGGTCGGGACGCAGGTGCCCAGTGAAGTTCTGCCGGCCGAGCCTGCTAGACTCGAGTGCACATTCTCAGGGAGAGTGAGGTCAGCGTCCCATCTGCATTTTGCAGGTGAAAATACAGACGTGGCGAGAGGGAGATGATCTGCCGGAGGCCACACGGGGTAAGCCTGGTGCTAGGATCAGAACCCACAACCCTTGCTCTCCCCACGCCAGCTCTTGCTCTCTGCCGCAGCCAGGGCCCCTCCTGGCGGGATGCAATGTCCTCTCAGACCCCCGCCGCCCCCGCCAATGCGATCTGTCACCTCCCCCCCCCCAGCACCGTATTTCCTCTTCTTTCAGTGACGACAGTTGTGCTCACAGTGGCTACAGGAAGCAGATAGGACCCTCTCGTTCAGAGAGGCGACGGCTCGGAGGAGTGAAGGGTTCTCCCAGGCCTCAGAGACAGTACGGGGTGAAGCAGGGATTCTAGCAGAGATCAGCGACTGCAGGAACTGTCACCTCCTGGCAACTCAAACGCCCCAGGCCCATGGCTAGGACAGGAGCTGGCTGGGGGCCCCCCAGGCGCCCCTAGAGCCTGACACTTATTAGGACTTGATAAGTATCTGCTGAGTGAGTGAATGAATGAATGAATGAATGAATAACTAAATGGGTTAATGACTGTGCCAGGCCACGTTCTAAATGCTGGTGACCTAGCAGCGAAAAAGCAGGCATGATCCTTGCCCTCGGGGGGCTGGCAACATCTGAGTTCGAAACTAGCCACTGGATTGAAAACAGGGCAGATGCTGCTGCTTCCCAACCGGCTGGGGTGGGAGGTGGGGGGCAGGTGTGATGTCTGATGTCTGCCCGGGGAGTGGGCATCCGAGAGCAAATGGTCACGCCCCTGTCCTCAGGTAGAGCCACCTGTCCTCAGGTGGAGCCACCTGTCCTGTGTGCAAGGTCAGGAGGGCGACCTCCAAGAAGGCAAGGAAAGACAGACAGGTGGTGCAGTTGTGTGCTTGACGCCTACTTCCTGCCGAGGCCCAGACAGCTGGCTCAGCACCTGGCACATAGTAGGTGCTTAGGAAACTTCCTCCCACGAAGGAAGGGTGGGCAGGGCACTTGTCGGGATGACTTAGGAACTTGTGGGGGATCAGGAGGGCGTCAGACCCCAGAGAGCGAACTCCTAGTTAACTTGGACGAATCGCTATTACAGTGATCACAACTCACGCTCGAACGGGGCTTCCCCCTTTGCAGAGCCCGTTCACGCACCAGGAATGGCCACGGTGCAGGTGAGGGACTCGCTGGGCGCGCACGGTCGGTGCCCACTCTGTGCTGGGCCCCGGCGTGCAAACACAGCGGCGCCGCGCCCCACGCCCACAGTCTCTGGCGTTCCCGCCACGCAGAGGGTGCGTGCAGTGGAGGCCCAGACAGGTCTTGGCCCTGCACGGTTGGAGCCCAGGTCTCTCATCTCACTCTGGGAGCGAGACATAAAAGCCCGCAGCCTAATGGGGACACAACAGGGAAAGCAGACGGCTAAAACACCACGCGACACCCAGGCTCACCCTCTGACACGGGTCCGCCCGGCGGCCGCTGGCGGGAGCAGCTGGAGGCGTCTCTGAAAGGGCGAGCAGGGAGTGGCGGCGGCTCAGGCGTGGGGCAGACGTGGGGGAGTGTCGCCTGGCCCGGGCCGGGGGCAAAGGATGGGACTGGCCGCCCGTCACGGCCAGTGTACGAGGGGGAGCCTCGCAAGGCCTTGGGCTTCACCTTGAGGGCGGTGGGGAGGGCCCGGGGGGCTCAGCTTCGTGCTCAGAGGGACCCTTCCAGGGGCAGCAGGGTGTGGGGCGAGAGGGGGGCACGAGGAGGGGGGCCTGGGCTCCGTCCCAGGCTGTGGGCGGAGAGAGGTGCGACGCCGTGGCCGGGGCTGGCAGGGGCAGGAGGAGTGGGCGGCAGGGCTTGGTGCTCAGCGAGGTGTGGGGTGGAGGGAGAACGGGACTTGGCCTGCTGGCTTGGCTGGCACGGGGGTGGGGGGGGGGGTGGGGGCAGCGCCATGGGAGGGTCAGCGGCGGTCACCCCTCCTATTGGCTGACCTCCCCTGTGGAGATGGAGTCTCTCTTCCAGCCCTCAAGAAAGCCACTGTGGCGGGTGCCAGAACCAACTCCGGCAAAGGTCTCCCTGTAGACCGTGTCCTAGCAACCTTGCAGCCCTCCCCTTGGCAACGCCAGCTCCTCCTCTGATTGGCTGGAAGGGAAGGTGGCCACTGGAGGCTTCCTGACCACTAGACCCGCCCGCCCGCGGAGCCAGCCCAGGGATGCCAGGCAGCCCAGGCTCAGCGGGTGGAGACCGGCCGCTGGGGGAGGAAAAGGGGTCTGGACATTGGGAAGGACTCTGGATAGAGAGCCTTGCAAACTGGGTTCTGTCCCCAGGGCTGACACCCTGCCTGAGGGACCCTGAGCGTCGTGTCTCTTCCCCTCCATGGGCCTCCGTGGGCCTCGGTTTTCCCTCCTGCAAAATAGGAAGGGTGGACACCACCATCTCTAGAGTCTAATGTTGTCTTATTCAGTTTTTTTTTATATTTTCCATCGTTACTGGCTGGGTGCTCTGTCTGACAACAGATTTTAGTGTCAGACTCCAGAGATTTAAACCTTAGTTAACTTGGACAACTCACTTCACCCTCAAGTCTAGTTTTATTTTTTTTTTCTCTCTGAAAATTGATCTCTTTCATGCTATCTTACTTTAAGGGTTGCGAGAGTCAGTTAAAATGGTATGACGAACTAAAGTGCTTTACGAATGGCAAAGATCCATGCGAATGTTGTCTATTTCGTTGCATGGTAATAAGGTCTGTGTTCAGGGGCAATGTATCGCAACGGCAAGAGTGGCAAGAGTTTATCCAACAACTGCTGGGTGCCAAGCACGGTGCTGAGTGTTTCCCTAATATTGTCTCAGTTAATCTCCACAACAACCATATGCGGTGCTGTGACTATTATTCCCATTTTACATATGAACACAGTGGAGGAGCCATATGGCTGAGTGCAGAAAGAACTCGGCCAGGCTCCCTTGGCTTCAAAACTCGCACATTTAAAATTTAATGAAGTGTCCATCTTCGGAGCTCCTCTCTACATTTTGGGTTTTTCCTCTTGCCTGAGTCAGACTCTAACTGAGAGTTTAGTAGGCAGGGGAGTAGCACTAACATCTAATGAGCATTCTTTATATGCCAAGAGTCGACCGGCTTCTCAGACTTTAATGTATGTGCCAGTCACCGGGGCGTCTTGTTAAGATGCAGCTTCTGATTCAGTAGGTCTGGGATGTGGCTGAGAGACTCTGCACTCCTTTTTTTTTTTTTTTTTTTTTAGCTTTTTTTTTTTTTTTTTTTCTTTTTTTTGGAGACAGGGTCTAGCTATGTCGCCGAGGCTGGTCTCAAACTCCTGGCCTCAATCACTCCTCTCGCCTGAGCCTCCCAAAGTGCTGGAAGTACAGGCGTGAGCCACTGTGCCTGGCCTGAGATTCAACATTTCTAATAAACTCCCAGGGGCTGCTGGCGCTGCTGGTCTATAGACCGCACTGTGAGCAGCCAGGTGCCGGGGGACTCCATACAGTCTCTTACTAAATCCTGGGGACTAGGTATTCCATTAGTCTCGAGTTCACAGAGGGGGGAGCTGAAGCTCGAGAAGCGACACCCCTCAATGAGGGTCCCCCGCATGCGATGGTGGGTCTGCCCCTAGGCCAGCGGTCCTGCGGCTGCAGGCCCAGCGTCCCCTCCTGGCCGCACGGCAGAGGCAGGCAGTGGGCTCTGAGGCCTCCAACAGGAGCAATTTCTTAATTTCAGTCCATCCTAAGCAGACTGGCTGCCACTGCTGGCCCCCAACGGGAGCAGAGCGGGGCCTTGGCCCAGGTGGTGGCCCTGCAGTGGAGCAAATATATGTCTTGGGGCCAGGATTAGAGCCTATGTACACGCAACTCAGCCCATCTTCCTCACCCTGATCCCTGCTGCTTTGCATCCTGCCTTTATTTAAAATTTTTGACATTTTATTCATCATGTATTTTTTTTTTGCATTCATTTTTAAAAATTTCATAAAATGGGATTCAGCTTTGTGACTGAGTTTTTAGCAACCATTCCGTTTTGCACCTGAGGCAAGAGCCTCTCTTCCGCGCCTCACCCCGGCCCTAGGGCCCCTGTGTCTCCTCCCGCCCCTGCAGCCCCGCGGCACCAGGATGCCGCCCGCAAGGCTCTGCGTGGTGCAGTGGCAGCCCCCACGATTCGCATCCCAGCAGACGTGTCTGCTCCTGCCCCTGCTCGAGAGATGGCAGCAGGCACTGGGGACCTGGAGGGTCCAGGAGATCACTCTGACCTGGGCTTTACCCCATCCAGCCCTTTACTGGCTGCGTGACTGAGGGAAGTGACTTCACCACAGTTTGGATTTCTGCTGCCCCTCTGCCTTACGGAGACTCGGCACAGCCTCAAGGCCCTGCCTGGCGGAGCCCTGCCTGGCGGAGCCCTGCGGCCTCTCTGCCCTCACCGGCCACCACGCGCCCCTTGCTCCCGGGTTCTGTCCCAGGACCTCTGCATTCCGTGCCTTCTGCCTGGCTGCCTGGCTCATAGCCACTGACCCTTCCTCCTTCGGATCTGAGCTTCAGTACCTGTTCCTGGAAGTCTCCCCTGGCCACCTGCCTTAAGCAAGCCGCCACCTTTTTTTTTTTTTTTTTTTTTGAGACAGAGTCTCGCTTTGTTGCCCAGGCTAGAGTGAGTGCCATGGCGTCAGCCTAGCTCACAGCAACCTCAGACTCCTGGGCTCAAGCGATCCTCCTGCCTCAGCCTCCCGAGTAGCTGGGACTACAGGCATGCGCCACCACGCCCGGCTAATTTTTTCTATATATATTAGTTGGTCAATTAATTTCTTTCTATTTATAGTAGAGACGGGGTCTCGCTCTTGCTCAGGCTGGTTTCGAACTCCTGACCTCGAGCGATCCGCCTGCCTTGGCCTTCCAGAGTGCTAGGGTTACAGGCGTGAGCCACCGCGCCCGGCCTCCCCTGACCTTCTTGAGGACTCAAGGTTTCTGCACTTTTCCCCCTATTTGGCTACTGATTCAGCAATGGCTGTGTGACTGCGAGTAAGTGTCTTGCCCTCTCTGGGCCTTTGGATTTTACTTCATTCTCCACCCCTATCTCCCTGCTTAAAAGCCCTTGATGGCTTCTCATTGCTTGATGAACGCCTCTGGCCTGGGGTTTGAGGCCCTCAGAGTTGAGCTGTCGTTAACATTTCTAGCATGTGCCCCCTGCTCTCCCACTTCATTTTGCCTTTTTTTTTTTTTTTTAAGCAATACTCAAAAACTCACACAGCACGTTCTAAGTGCCAAGACCGAGTGCTTAACATATTCCAACTTGTTGGACTCTCACAGAAATCCTTTGAAATAAGTTATCTGGAGTCTCGAGTCTCCTCCATTTCAAAGATGAGTACCTGAGGCCCTCGGGGGGTAAACGACTTGTTTGAGCCCGCACAGCTCCTGGACGGCAGGGCGGGGATTGGAGGGGCTGGCGGGGCTGGCACCTGGGCCACGCCGCCTCCCCACCCCTGGGCACACCAGCCTCAGCCACTCCCATTTTCCAGGTGCAATTCCACATCCGTCACCCACCTCCAGAAAGCCTTCCCCGATTCCTCCCAGGGCGACTCAGTTCTTACCTCTGTGTCCCCACAATGCCTTGCACGCCATGGCGACCCTATTGTCTTTGTGCACTGTCTCCTGGGCTCATGCGAGCACCCCCAGGTGGAGGGGGCTGCGTCCCACCCCTCCTGCCTCTCCGGCACCCGGCCCAGCGCCCGCCACCATCCACTCTCCACATGGCAGCCAGAGGCATCTTTTAAAAACAGAACCATTTTGTTTTTATCACTCTCCTGCTCAAAGCCATCCGGAGACAATCTATTGCATCTAGAATAAAACCCGGTCCCGGCCACGGCCTAGAAGATTCTGCACACTCTAGTCCCTGTCCTCCCTGCCTGCGGCTGCTGCTACTGTCCCTTCGCGCGCTCTGCCCCAGCCCTGCTGGCCTCCCGCCTGCCCCGGACAGGCCGGGCTCACCCTGGGGCCTCTGCCTGGAATGTTCTCTCCCACGTGGCTCACTCCTGCCTGTTACTGGGGCTCAGTCCCACGTCAGCACTTCGCACGGCCTTCCCTGTCTGTGTCGGTCTGTCTGTCTGAATGTTTTCGTATGGACCTTTTACTTGTTCCCAGTGACTGTGCCTGCCTCGAGTGTGCAGCCCACGAGGACAGTCTGAGGTGTCTCTTGGCGCCGTGTCACCGTCACCCGGAGCAGCGCCTGACACAGAATAGCTGCGCGGTGCGTGAGCATCCTGGAGGAGGAGCATTCGCTCACTGCATCCCTCCCTCGGGGGTCCCACACTGCCATTCGGTGAGGCCCAAGGAATGCAGCGCGTCTAGATCGTCCCAGGCTCGTGCTGGCATGGCTGCACCAGCGGAAGTGGGCTGTGTCTGTCACTCCCCTTTGTCTGGCCTGCAACCGTACTCCTAGGAGCAAGGTCATTTTATTGGCTATTCTCTGCGGCCTTCCCTTCACCGGGGACGCCAAGAACTCCTTGCATGACGTGTTCCCCACTTGTCCACCTAATAAGTAAGAATCTGGGGGAACTTGTGAGATGCCGCCCACTTCATTTTGCAGGCAGGGGCTTCCCTGAAAAGTGAAAATGCGTGGGAAGTCGGAGCCCCAGAGCCCCAGAGCCCCAGTGGGGCACACGGGCCCAAGTCGTGGCCATCACACACGTCGTCAGTAATTGGTGAGACTTTGTGCTCGGAAAGGGCACGAGAGCTCTGAGTCCTGCCAGAAGCTGGGCCAAACGCTGCTCGTTCAACGCCTCAAAGGAGGGGACGTCTGCAGCCGGGGGCTGTAACGGCCCAATACAGGGCAAAGCACGCCGCCCGTGGCCAGCGGAAGCCCACAGAAATGAGGTCTGGGTGTCTGGCCGCAGAGCCCTTTGCCAACGAGAACCAAGGGGCCGGCCGGGGAGACTTAGCACGGTGGCCACAAGATAGGTGCCACAGACTGACTTAGAAAGCATATGCAAGGGACATTTGCCAAGGATCTCAAAGACCAACAGTCACACGCTGGCCATCCTCTTGAGAACCAAGAGGGGTATTTCTTCCCTCTCTTGCTCTTCTTCCTTCCAGCTTCTTTGAGCTGGAGAAGAAAATGCTACCCCGTTTTCTCCTACTTGTTTATGAGTTCAAAGATCTTGGCTCTGGTCTCAGCACTGTGGAACTTTGGGCAAACTCCTCCCCACTTCCCACCCTTGTCTCCTTCATTCGTAAAACATGCCGTCGGGCTCACTGATGTCCACATCAGTGATCTCCGTAGTAGCTCTAAGCTTCTATCCTTATGAGCTCATGATTTAGATCACTTTGGAAGGGAAGCTCTCACTTTTTCTTTATGGGAATTGATATGTCTTTTTTTTTTTTTTCCTTTTGAGCAGGGTCTGACCCAGGCCGGAGTGTAGTGGCATGATCAGAGCTCACTGCAGCCTCCAACTTCTGTGCTCAAGCAATCCTCCCACCTCAGCCTCCCGAGTAACTGGGACTACAGGCGGGACCCACCATGCCTGGTGGCCCTAATTTTTTTTTTTCTTTTCTATTTTTGTAGCGACGGGGTCTCGCTCTTGCTCAGGCTGGTCTCTATGGTTTGTCTTTCGGTCAGCCTTGCAGACGGTCACCGGCCCCAGTGCAGGAGCAGAGATGAACACTTCTGGCTTGGTAAAACCCGCCGAGGGTTGATGTACCCCTTGTTTTTCCTCTAAAACAGTCTCTTCTAGCGCAAGTGGCTTATAACCACAGTGTGACCTACCTCTCAAAATGTTCTGCTAAGGACAGAGATGCTCAGAACAGATTGAGAAGGGAAGGTCATGATTTGAACTAGTGACTTCCAAGGTGGTACAGCATCTGAACGGCATAAGTTGTACCGATGCTAAAATCCCTCTGTATGAAATGATATGATATCTTGAGTTTGCTTCAAAATAAGTCAGCGTGTGTGTGTGCGCACGCGTGGGTGTGTGTGATGAAAGTGGGTGTGGGTATAAGATGAAACAAAATTGGCCAACCATTGGAGCTGGATGATGGGTGCGTAGGTGTTGATTATACTATTCCTCTTATTTTTCAAAATGCGTTTGAAATATTCCATCATAAAAGGCCCTTTGGAGATCGGTTCCAGCCTTTCTGTCCACTCTCATTTTACCGTCTCCACCCCGAGCACCCCCTGGCACGGTGGCGCCACTCCGGTGGCTGTGATTTCACTCCTCTAAGCCCTTCACACAGTTCCACCTGCCC